GGGCGAGACGCTCGGAGCGGCCGCTGCGGCCAGTAGCTGCCGCCGCCACCGTCGGCCCCTTCACCGGCTGCCCCGTTCAGACCTAGCCGGGAGGGGTGAGAGGGATGCAGCTTGGGGCCCACCTGCCGCGCCGCACCCCGTAAAGGGCTGATCTTCCACCTCGCCACTTCACCCACGGGAAGCCAAGACCAAACCAGCTTAGATCTCTTCTGGGTAAAGTGCTGGGAGGCAAGGGCGAGAAGGGGAGGAAAGAATCGAGGCAGCCTGCCCTTCCTGGGCCTCCAGCGGCATGTTCTGGGCTCGGACACCCACAAGGGATTGGTTTCAATGGATTATCCATCCCCCTCCCGTGAGCTGTTTGTGGAAACCCAAGCCCTTGGGGAAAAAAATCCTTTTATTCTGTTTAACAGACAGCTCCAGGGGGAGGGTGGAGGAGGGGAAATGAGGCCCAGCCCCACTACCCTTCCCAACCCACCCATCTCTACCTTACGTATTTGTAATCTATATACACACCCCAGTCGGTCGGGAGAAGGGGGGACACCCTCAGCGGGGTAAGTCATTCTGGACTTTTAATGGGAGGCTAGTGAATGAATTATTCATAATTGTCACATTCTTGCGGGATGTATTCTGGAGGGGAGGGGATCATGGTAGGGCCCAGGAAGGTATTAGGCCTCCAAAGCCCAAGATGGTGCCTTTAGCACAATCCCATTCGCCTTTCCTGTGGAAGTATTTATGTGTGCAGAGAAGACTTGTTAGGTACTAAAAGAGTGGAGCAAAAAACAGGGCAGCTTTATAGAAGTGCTTGAAGGGTGGACAAGCGTGTAGGAGCTGGGGCTTCGGGGGCTGTTCGTGAACCACTGGTGTGTTGGTGGCTTTGTTCCTTTTGCTTAGTTAATTTTTCTGGAAACTAGGCATAGCTCTTTGGCCTGGTGGGGGAGCTTAGATGTACTGATAACGTCTGGAGGGTTAGAAGAGCTACTGTTGACATTGCACAGAGGTGCCCTGCTCCTGCCAATGTCAAGACCTAAGATACTTGTGCTTTTTCCAAGCTGATAGTTCAATGTAATGCCATGCTTTGAAGGCATATGCTGCTTTCTGTTACAACTGAAGAAACTTGAGATTCACAGGCCCAGAGCCCCACCTCATATTCCACTCCACAGTAACCCCAGTCTTAATCACGGCGGTGTTTAGGTTATTTTCAGAAGGAGTTGATTAGTCACTCTAATTTTCTACTTGAGTATGACTGTCCTTCGGAATGCAATAATGACAAGCCCTTTTTCTTAAGCATATCTCTTTAAAATGAGAATTTTAGAAAGAATTAATATATGATTACCATTCTGCAGGCTTTGTGGTGTAATAAGTTACGATTTTTGTCATCTTCTAGTGCTTGTGAAACTGAACACAACAAAAGCATGGAGATGGGAAACCAACACCCTTCTATTAGTAGGCTTCAGGAAATCCAAAAGGAAGTAAAAAGTATAGAACAGCAAGTAATTGGTTTCAGTGGTCTGTCAGACGACAAGAATTACAAGAAACTGGAGAGGATTCTAACAAAACAACTTTTTGAAATAGACTCTGTAGACACTGAAGGAAAAGGAGACATTCAGCAAGCTAGGAAGAGGGCAGCACGAGAGACGGAGCGACTGCTTAAAGAGCTGGAGCAGAACGCGAACCACCCGCACCGGCTCGAGATACAGAGCATATTTAAAGAAGCCCAGTCCCTGGTGAAGGAGAAGATCGTGCCATTTTATAGTGGAGGCAACTGCGTAACTGATGAATTTGAAGAAGGCATCCAGGATATCATTTTGAGGTTGACACATGTTAAAACTGGAGGCAAGATCTCCCTGCGGAAAGCTCGGTATCACACTTTAACCAAAATCTGTGCGGTGCAAGAGATTATCGAGGACTGCATGAAGAAGCAGCCTTCCCTGCCACTGTCCGAGGACGCACACCCTTCCGTTGCCAAGATTAACTCTGTGATGTGTGAGGTGAACAAGGCCAGAGGCACTCTGATCGCTCTCCTCATGGGAGTGAACAGTAACGAAACCTGCAGGCACTTGTCCTGTGTGCTCTCGGGGCTGATCGCGGCCCTGGATGCCCTGGATGTGTGCGGGCGCACTGAGATCAGAAACTACCGGAAGGAGGTCGTGGAAGATATCAACAAGTTACTGAAATATTTGGATTTAGAAGAGGAAGCAGATACCACTTACGCGTTTGACCTGGGACAGAATCATTCCATTTTAAAAATAGAGAAAGTCCTCAAGAGAATGCGAGAGATAAAAAACGAGCTGCTTCAAGCCCAGAATCCTCCTGAGTTGTACCTAAGTTCCAAAACAGAATTGCAGGGCTTAATTGGACAGCTGGATGAGGTTAGTCTCGAAAAGAACCCCTGCATCCGGGAGGCCAGGAGGAGAGCAGTGATCGAAGTGCAGACCCTCATCACTTACATCGACTTGAAGGAAGCCCTGGAGAAGAGAAAGGCGTTTGTGTGTGAGGAGCACCCCTCACACAAGGCCGTCTGGGACGTCCTTGGAAACCTGTCGGAGATCCAGGGAGAAGTCCTCTCATTTGACGGCAACCGGACTGATAAGAACTACATGCGGCTGGAAGAGCTGCTCACCAAGCAGCTGCTGGCCCTGGACGCGGTCGACCCGCAGGGAGAAGAGAAGTGTAAGGCTTCCCGGAAGCAGGCGGTGAAGCTCGCCCAGAACATCCTCAGCTATCTCGACCTGAAATCTGATGAATGGGAGTACTAAAGCACCCAGCCCGGGCTGAGCCTTCTTGTTTTGCACTTTATACATACGTCTTTGTATTTATAGAGAGCTTGCAGTTTCTTGAGCCTAAATGTGATTTTTACATGCATATTTCAATCTCCATATTTATGATTTTAGCAAATTATATTCAGTATCTCTGCTGCTTTTGATGTTGCAAAACAAATATTACAGCTTATTAACTTTTCCATTTGGATCGTTATCTGTATGTTGTGTGATTTTTTGGGTTTTTTTTTAAATCAGAAAATGGAATAGGGGCAGCTTTTTAATTTTTTTTAATAGGTTGTCCAAGCATTCAAATGCAGGTATTTCAGAATCTAGAAATAGTCGTAACCTTACATAGTAATTTCTAGGACAATTATGAGAAAGGGGGAAGTTTTTGGTTAAACAGAAGTAAGGTCCAATACTAAAGCAGTACAATTACATATTTCATTATACTAAGTAAAGCAGAAGGATTTTTTTCATTTCTAAAACCCGATTAGTCCCACCCAGTTTAACAGGGTGGGAGTTTTTTGTTTTTCCAGACAGTCTGTTCTTTCATAAACATTTTTTGTTTGAAGAACGGTGTCTGTGTTTCCCCCCATACTCTGCATTTAGAGGGGGATTCTTATTTTTGTGTGTGACATAGGAAAATTATGAAAATTAATAGCAAAAAAGTATTTGAGACTACTTTGAAGAAAGAACACCAGCTAACATTTTCAAGTTGCTTTTGTTTGTAAAATCTGAACTTCCAGTTTCCCTTAGAAATTAGTAATGGACCTTAAAAAAAAAAAGGAAACACCTGTATCCAGAGTAGGATAATGAAAACGAGATTAGTTACCTATTATCAGGTTGTGTCAGAGTAAGCAAAAATGAATCTAGCATGTCCTGGGCTTCTCCTGTTGTTCAAGGCTGCATGATGAACACACCTGTTAAGCATTCCCCGTGCTGCTGTGTGGTGTGTGAGAGCAGAAACTGTCTGCAGCCCTGCGGGACCAGATCCTTGTCGCTTATTCAGAGGAAGTTAGCCGTCAACGCCTGGCACCCGGAAACATCGCTCTCTGGGCCCCTGCTGCGCCTCTGAGTTCCTGTCACTGGCATGTGGATGTTTGTCTAGTGCCTAAGAGGACCAGTAAATATCAGTGCATGAAATGTTTTTTTCTTCTGCTAAAGGTTATACGTATTTCTGTACCTACGAATTCATGATCCAGTTTTACGGTTGCCTGTTAACGTGAACAAGAGACTTCCCCAGAGTTCTGAAGCGCCTAGGCAAGACGCTGCCCCAGCATCGCAGCTAACAGACCGCTCCCTGTAGTCACTCAGAGTAACCCTATTAGAGCGCACCCTTTGAGCTCTGTAGTAATTTGTGATTTTCTTTCAGAGATATTTGATAACTTTGTAAACAGCTAAAAATAAGATAAAGGAGTAGCCCTGAATACCTGAAAGATTATAAAAAGTGCAGCCCTAGGAGATTTTCACGCT